AAATAATACATAAATAAATCATGTAGTATTACTAAACGTCTTGTTTTAGAAACATGTATTGAAACTTGTTTTTTATTTGTTTTGTATATGGTTTATGTTTTAAATTAACTAAATTTATTCATGCATATGAATCAGGTCGTATTTTTCCCCCCGTTTCATTATCGCTCTTTCGAAATCTTTCTTCCACGTCCTTTTAAGTACCGTTAGGTATTTCGATACTTCCTTTAAACGAGTATTGTGCGGTATGAATCACTTATTCGTTCCAATTAAATAGCCTTTAAATTAAGTAATATTTGTGCTCAACTTTTTTAATAAAATCGTATTAAGAAATCATTTTACTAAGAAACATTTTACCGTAAACTTCTGTGACTATTGCACAGAATTATCGACACTATACAAGCAATAAGTACGGGGTTTATTAACTGTTTTTCATATTCAATTATGGTTATTTCGTACTTAATCACTCTATATTCCAAGCGCTTTTTGCTTCGAATGTAAATTTGACGTTAACAAATACATTTTACATCATAAAAAGGGATGGCTGCGTTTTAATCAAGGAAAAAGACTTCCCTTCCAAACCATAGAGCGCGTTTAAAAACCGAGAACAATACTGGAACGTTGAATTTAAAACCGCAACGTATTATACATTTACGCCCCTATGGAGCAGAATAGAGGGCCCGCTCTGAAATGTAGCCCGTTCAATACCGCATGTACGGCGAAATACATCGCTAAATATAGGCCGTAGTCGTCGGGGAAGCGTGCAGTGATGGTTGTGCGTGGTCAGGACTCAGACTTGCCCCCTCCCCCGCACACCCCCTGTTCCCCACACGCCCCCGCAGCACCCCTCCCTCGCCTGTTAAGCCCTAGGGCCGTCAGCTAACCTGGCAATATCGAGCGCAACGAATCGTATACTCGCTCTACCGACTGTATGTACGTGAAAGTACTTTCACTTGTTTGAGCGTTACGTTCATGAATTTATTTTGGATAATTATCGTTTTAATTGGGGCTAGGAATAATTTTAACCACAGTTATGGTATTCTGCTTGGTGATTACTTAATACTTATTATGGTCCACATTATTACGGTTATTTTCAGGTAAATTATGTTTTGGTCGCCACTCTAACTAGCATGTCATTCGATTCGAGTCTCATAAATATATCAGATTGTAATAATTATGTTAATGTGTACCAACTTATTTTGAATATCCACTTATAAAAATGTGGTGTTATGCATTTTATCAAACAAAATAAAAGTCAATTAATTACTCCCTCTTTTCTATTTGGATCCAACTATCGCTCCAATCTAAAATATCTATTTCAATTCAAAATATACAATCCCTTAATAGAAAAAAATTTAAGCTGTGACAACCCTAGGGAGTACATAAAGTAAGGGAACACAGGAACAGTGTACATAGACTGTTGTGCGTGTGCGTCGCTGTTACACATTAGTGCACGCGCTTCAGTGTACGGTGCACATGGAAAAAGTCTGGCGCGCGGTCACTCGGCCATGGTACTTAGGGCGCAAAATTCCCCATTGCGTTAGGTCAGTAATGGAACTGCAGTATGCAACTTTAGAGGCAGGGTTGAATTATGCACCAATATTATGAATTCATTTTTAATAACAAAAATAAGTAAAATCCTATTAATTATCTATACTTAATATTATAAAGAGGAAAGATTTGTATTTTTGATTTTTTGTATGTATTGAAATAACTCAAAAACTATTTGGCTGATTAATAAAAATCTTTCAACATTTAAAAGCTATTTTATCAGTGAGTAACATAGGCTATGCATTTTTATATTCTTTCATTTCATGCGGGCGAAGTCACGAGCAACTAACTAGTGTTTAGTAAATTAATAATAATCTTATGTTAGATTTTTAATAACATAGTTTTTTTGTTCTTTATTAGTAATTGTTGCATGTCCTATTTTTGATTTAAAAAACTTTTAGAATTTATATTTAGTGGTAGGGTTGGGTTCAAGGTGTAAAATGACGTGTACATATAGTATGTTTTCACATCGAAACGTCTGCGGATCGACAACCTTGGCCCGAGGCTCCTTTGTTTCCAGCTGCAATAAAATTTTATTTTCACGTAAATAACCGGCTTTTATATCCCTAACGTCCGCTCGGAGTTAAATAACCGAGTACAGTCGGACACAACACATATACTAAATTACTATTCCTACGATTCTATACTGTATTTTTTTTTTAAATATCATACTCGTACTTTTTCTTTAAACTAACACTTGTCTGCGGTCTCTGCCTACCCCAGAGACTTACAAGTGTTATTGATAAATTTCTTACTCTTTAAATTTACAAAGTATTTTAACATTAATGATTATTAGTAAATTTTACGCAGTTTTTACGATTACTATCAAATCGAGCCTTACAAATATGTTTATGTAAGACCACAACAATGAACTTTCCTATTGAAATACGAGTCTGTTGTTCGAAGTAAAAAATGCTGAAGTCTCAAGAAACGCATAAATATACATCTTACTAATATTATAAATGCGAAAGTTTAGATGGATGGATGATTGTTAGAGTTTGAAGGCTAAACGATTGAACGGAACTCGATAAACTCGGCATAGACAATGAGGATAGTCTGGAAGAACACATAAGCTATTAACTTTCGTTTTTTTAATTCCACGCAGACGGAGTCGCGGTCGAATGCTAGTTAATTATAAAGTGTTTCCTGTCTAGATGAGACAAGGTTCTGAGAGACACAAAATTGAAAAACTGACAAGAACAACGAAATTTACATTCCCCTTGTTTTATGTCTTTTAATTTAGGTATACGATGAACATGAATTGCGGCTGTTCGTGTATGGAATTAAACAACCTGTTTTGTGTTGAATTCTTATCAGTTTCTATCATTAAAAGTATTCTATTTCACCACCATAGATCTCCTAAAACGCTTCAATTATTAACAATTACTTATAGGGATTTTTCTATAGCATCGATAAATAGTCACGCTATACGGTATTTTAAATAGATAGAATTTTAAAACGTCTTTTCCTGCTCTCTACCGTTTAAAGAAATTAAATGTTATTCATCAGTACATTCCACTACATAAGTAGTTTTTCATAGTTTTAAGTTGTACAAAGCATGTCGTCTACTGAATAGCTACATAAGGGGCCGCGAACTGCGCGTTGCGTGTAAACCTGAATTAAGTCATGACGGCGACACAGCCGACCACGTTGTGTGCGTACAACATGTGTGTACGGGACGCGTTAGTGTGCGTGAGGCGCGTGTGCGCGTGTGTGCGTGTCATTTGCATGCCGTAGACGTAGAACAATATGGCAGCCGGCTACAGCTGAATACTCGATCAGTATGTCAGTATCGTTCGTTACTGTGTAACTTTAGAGTGTGTTATTGCAACCATCAATTACAACAACTTTGTTTTCACATTAATTAGAATGAGGATAAATTGTTTGTAAGCGACATGGAATTACCTATTTAGCAAAGCAAAAATACTTTATTCCCGCTGTCTTAACACGCTGTTTGTACACATATCTGTTTAACTAAATTTATTGCGTAAACGTGTGGTGCGGACAAATAGTGAAAAGAATTCCAATACCAATCACAATAGCTGTAGTGAAAAGAAAGCGCAATATATTCTCGGTTTTACGTTAATCAAATTATGTGGTAGCCGTGCGTGGGGCCGGGGAAATGCGCGTTGTAAGTGAATGTGGAGGTCAAGCTAAACTGGTTACGCCGCTACACTGTGGCAACAGCGAGTTGTGTAATAACGTGTCGTTTACCCCGCGGCCTTCGCGCCGTTTCATGGCCCAACGTCGAACTCATCTAACCCATTGAACCAATCGAAATTAATCAATTCTATACGGCGATAATAATTCTTTACAGCTATTCAGTAACAATAAGGAAGACTTTGATATTAGAAAGAGAAATTTTAATCGATTCCTAGACGACCTCGTTTTTATAGTCACAAAGCGCTTGACAGCTAAATATGATTACGATGTATTGTAAGCTATTAATTATTGCTTATTTTGTTAATTTAAATATTATTATTGGAATAATCTATTATTTTAATTTAAATATGGCTCACCTCTATCGTATTTGGAGCAAACTTCTATTCGTATTTGCGCGTAGTTAATACATAATCGAATTTTTATTTCATTTTCATTGTTTTTGTCACGGTTCGTAATTGATTGACGAAGAATGCGGAAATAGAACAATGCGCCTTGAAAACAGTCGTTCGCCTCCAAACGACTTGTTAAAATTCCAAACTGCACGACCTGTGTTGTTACCACTTATAGTAACTTCACAGTATTTTCTATGTGAAATTGTATAGTACGGTATAGCTAGTGTATTTTTACTTTCTTTTGACATTTTTATATTTTTAAAAACTTTAAAAATGTGATAATATTATATAAAAATATATAGTATTATCACATTTTTAAAGTCTAATGTTAAATTCAAATTGTATTTTTGAATAATAATTTACAAACTCTAACCTCTTTATAACAATTAAATTTCCATATTATATTGCGGTTTACATGTTCTTAACCTCAAACACCGCTATAGTTCAAATAATTAAAGAATATCTGTTACCTAATTAAAATAACAAAAACATTAAATATGTCATTTACTAATTTTAATGAAGTTTACACTTTTTAATGAAAAGTAAAAGGAATAGGATTTAATTTAAACAAATACTTTATTCAAATTTAATTAGTAATTAGTAAGTAAGAAATTTTTTTTATTTAGTTTTATTAATTGGGATTCGAACTTATGTTTTTACCATATATTTAAATGTTTAATTCTAAGTTAATAATCAAACATAATGTGTTATTATGATACATGTGTTCATTTTGTCCATTATTTTTTAAAATACAATAAAACCCAGCAATATTATACTATTTTTATTAATTATCTATATTAAAATAGATGTAATTAGCGTAAATCTCGTAGATGTAGGGATTTTAAGCCCTGGGGAATCGCGTGATTTGATATCTAAAGGTAATTTAATTGGTTTCAGATTACAACGCCGCCCCGCTGTTCGCCTCGGAAAACGCCTCCAGTGGTAAGCTTTCAGCTAACTCATCACATTACATTCAACAGAGTACTCTAAAAACAACACTCATGAAGAAAAATAAAAGTTATGTTATTTAAATTGATAAAAATTCTAAAAACAAGGAAACTATTTGAAACGGCACATTGCAAAATTACTTTCTTTAGATAGGTCGAACCACCGAATCACTGGTGTTATTTTAAATTTTTGACATTAAATTGGGTGAAAATATCGATAAAATAAAAGCTCACGCAATTTAAATTGGTATACATAGTTGATCATTTTTTTATCATTGTAAAGTATCGGAATGTTGTCAACAAGATATATCAAAGATTCACTTCAGCGTCGTAGTTGACTCGCGACGTTGACGGGAATTTGCTCACAATGGCCAACGCTTGACATGACGCTGATGGTTTGCACAAACACCTGTTAACTCGACATCGGCTTGTAACTTCTGTTCATGTTAAGGCGTTGTCAATACACTAATGTTTAATCAATTACTGCCTACCTTTAATATAAATCAAAGAGCTGAATACACTAGCTTGTTGTCAATAGTATTAAATATATATTTACCAGTAAACCTGGGATAACATTTAAAGAAAAGTAAACGTCTTAGCAGTTTAATTCCGTCTACAAATCAAAAAGTATCGAAATATTTCAAAGAGAATTTATTGTCAAACGATAAACGAAGTGAGTCGTGTCCCGCCCCAAGCGAACGGACGCCTTTTGTCCGCGAATTTAATAAATTTCAACCATGTTTATGATAATGGCTTTGGATAGGTAAGATTTATGGGAGAGTACTTCAAAGACCCTTGTATTTTCTTTTTGATAAATTACGCTATAGTTTCGTGTGACTAGCAATCGAATTTCGAGAAAGATAGCTTGGTAACTAATGTCTCACTATAATATTCGTTGAATTAGAACCTGAAACCTCACCATTGTTATTCCGTACTCTACTTTAGGCTTCTATTGCGTTAATAAGTTATACTAAATAATTTAAAATGTTTTCTCTTTTCCTATGATTAAAAAAATTTCTTATTCCAGAACGTTCTTTACAAGTTGTAATTTTCTTAAGAACAGTGATTAGTTTTGAACAATGTTACGAATTAATGACACTCTGTATCATGTCAGGGCACGCTAAAAAAGATTTACATATTGATCATTAATATCGTAGGTGTTTTTAGACTTCAAGAGAAATAAAACAATAGAATATTGAAACAAATATATCTGTCGATAATTTCTTTAATTCTGATAATATTAATTTTAACTTACATCTTGATTCGGTTGATTAAATAATTTAAACTTTCCAAGAGGTTTTTGGATTCCAAATAATATAGACGTAAATTCTGTACAATATTAATAATATCCCTTGAATTGTCTGTATAAAATGATCTAAAATCTTTCATAAATTTACAAGACGTTAACAATTACATTTTGTAACTTAATAAGTAATTCCTGCTAACGCCCACCCTTTATTGTATCCACCAGCTATAAAATCTATTTCTTCATTAAATTTAAAATCTGTATCGAAATCCTTTTGCGTTATTTTATATTTTCAACAAATATCATACTTCATACTAATATTATAAATGCGAAAGTTTAGATGGATGGATGTTTGTTAGAATTTGTAGCCTAAACGGCTAAACGGATTTCGATGAAATTTGGTACAGATGGAGAGGACAGTCTGGAAGAACACATAGGCTACTCACTTTTGTTTTTTTTTAATTCCACGCGGACGGAGTCGCGGTATTTATATAAAACATCTGCAAATAAACGTCATGAGCATTTAAATTCTTCGATTGTGATACGTCTACGTAAAAGATGTTAACAAGTCAACTGATAAGAGGGTGATTGCAGTGATATTTCCAATAGCCGACTATCGGTTATTAACCTAATAAGATAAAGTATCGTGCCGGCGCGGCCGTCTTACATACTTCCGTACTATTACGAATGCTATGCGTACAGTAGAGGTATGCCCACGCGCAGTGAAAGTAACCAATCGCTTAACACAGTAACACTGATCACCAGAGACGATTACTTGATAAGATGACATATTGTATGAACAGCGTAGACTTTCGTACTATAATTTGGAACAATAACTACATGACACGAGATTCCAATAAGATATGAATATCGTAATATGAATGTACATTACGTCGTTTTTGTGTCTATCACTAAAAAGTACATCTGTATTTCAAATAATGACACCTACTTGTAGATGTAGAAAATATCGAAGTTTTAAAGTAAAATCTACGTACGCATTAGGTGCAATTTAAATAAACTGTGGATCTTATACTTGTTGCAAATACGCTTAGACGATAATATCAAATAAACTTAATATTAAGTTCGATTTAAAAGTAAATAATAAAAGTGTCATTGTTACTTGTTATCAGAGATATTCGCGTGGGGAGAATATTCGGTGAAAGTAGCACAGATAATCTAAAAATAGATAAAGAATATGTAACGCGTCCAGTCTATTAGGTTGCTACATATCTGTGAGCAGATCTTTTATATCTTATATTAAAATGTAGAACGAAATTATTGCTTTGTTTTTTTTTTACTGTACGAACTAAAATACAGAATTGTTAATCTGTTTTATTATGTTTTATTTCATGTTATATCTATACTTTTAAATAACCTATCACTTTATTTAAATATGCTTCTTTTAAGATTACGTCGGTTCTATTCTAGTTTATGCTAAAGGTTGTAAGAATAAAACAACTAAATGGTCTATACCTCGGTGGAATCTGATGTCAGTTTGTTCGTTTTGTAAACATTGCATGCTTTAGACTTGATGTACACTCACGGCGAAATAAATGGATCAATTACAGTGCCTGCATTAGCCGCTTCGAGTCTGGATATCGCGATCGTGCACGCCTCAACGCTCCTCGAAGGCTGAGCCTGACGTTTGTAATGTAAAAGGAACGATTTAATGTACTCTCTCTATAACCATGCTACGGACATTTTGTAGGATATTAACTGGGATCAAAATGTTTTTCTGCCTTTTAAGTGATAATAATTTTTGTTCAAGAAATAATGAATCTGTAGAATTTTCTGCAGAAAATTGACAATAATTTCTCTATCACGTAACATACTTTTATTAACACGTTTGATTACTTTAGACATATTGTAGATTTATTTTAGTTTAAACATATCAATTACTTGTAGCTCATGATGCATTATAATAACCCTGGTTTTGTAAAATTCCCAATTTCAATTTAAAAATTTCTGTTCCACGTTAAATATACTTATAAGCATAAAAAGGCTTTTTCTGAAGATAACTGAAATCCAAAAACTTAACGCATCCGATTTTACTTATAGGATTACAGTGCAACATTCTTTAAAACTGGATAAAAAAAAATGTACTTAAGACGAGTCAAGTCCAGTTAGTAGGGCGAACCAACTAGTTTAGTTCGCAATGTGGCTCATTTGCAAAGCATTTGTACAAGCCGGTCCTAGATGAAGTGGTATTAAATGAAAGTCGACGCTCGCATCGGCCACGGCTTGTAAAACTTTGCGGTCGAAATTGATATTATATCGCTTTCACTGGTTAATTATGGATTTTTTGGTATTGCGAATATCCAAGCAAAACTATACTAATACTGTACAGAGGAAAGATTTATATTTTTCGATTTTCGTAAGCATTGAAATAACTTAAAAACTACTGGGCCGATTTTAAAAATTCTTTCACCGTATAAATACTATATTATCAGTGAGTAACATAGGCTATATTTTTTTAATTACACAGGCGAAGTCGAGGGCAACAGCTAGTTAATTAATAATGGCAAAAATTACTGTCAATATTAATGCCAACTAATTCACCCATTATAATATGTCTGTTTTTAATCAAGATCATAGATTAAAACAACATATAAGTACATGAAAGGCATGTTCAATGCTGTAGTATCAATATAAAAATGATATCACGAAAACAAGGCATCTCTATGTATATAAATGATGTTTATGATAGATTCATTGATTACAATTACATGTTTTTTGAAGATTTGACTTTGAAAGTTGTCCAGGTGTTCCTTGTTTTGGTGGCCTGGCCCTACAGTTTACATCGACAATAACAAAGTAAAAAGCAAATTATTCTGTGATGCATTCGACGTATAACTCGAGCTCCAATCGAGTTGAAATGAGATTTGATTTGTATCGATATGAATACATTGATGCGGCGGATATCTACACGAAACTGCGTCAATGGATCCGTTGTATAAATATGTGTCACCGTCAGATCGTGTAATCTGTCAGTTTGTAATTAGCCTAGGTAAATGGTAAATATAAGGCAACCCGCATCATTAAATCTTACTAATATTATAATGCAAAAGTTTGTATGGATGTTTGATAGAGTTTGTCGCTTAAACGGCTGAACGGATCGTAATGAAATTTGGCATAGATGTATAGCATAGTCTGGAAGAAGACACAGGCTACTTCTCTTTTTTTAAATGCCATACGAACGGAGGTGCGGGCGACAGCTAGTGATATTTTAAAAGAACCAAGTTATTGGCTATCAATTTCTATGTAGCCAATAAACAAACACAAATACTAGTTACAGTTACCAATAAAGTCACTCAAATTGAAAAACTATGACACACATTGTGAATAAATTCTGTTTATATGTTGAGTCTGTGATTTGTCTGGGTACATTGCAAACGGGCGGTGTCCGCGATTTGTCGGTGACACATCTAACCGGGAACCGTTGTCGGACCGGACGCTTTAAATATCCCACGTACCCGTCGTCTGTACGCCACTTATATGGTTTTTGATACAATGAAATATTCAAGCCTCGAGCACGGTTCCTGGCTTGTGTTTAAATATTGAGATTTACTCTGATTGTACTTACCAAATACAAGACTTTATCTTACAAACGTCCTTTACTAACATTATTTTCATGATAGAAGAAACTTTATGTAGGTTTTTCTTCTTGAAACAGACTCTTATAGAACATTTGCCTTAATATAAGCTGGGGTTTTATGAAATACACTCTATTCTATCTTCATATAGGATCGTAATTAAAGCAAGAATACAA